GACGAGTGTTTTTCCAATATTTCTTATGTTGAACATAGCCGGAGCCTTCACATCATACCAGTCTTTTTTAGAAAATGGATCAACCACTTTCTTCTTGGCTCCTTTTTTGCTGCCTTTTGTAAGGCGCTTGTTCTTGCCTACCGCCATGGTGCTGCTCAGAGAGCCAAAAAGGTCTAATTATGCTTTAGTAGGCCCCCTTTTAAATTAAAAGGCAAGAGCTAGGCATAGTGGTGCACATGTGTAGAGCCAGCACTTGGAAGGCTGAGGCAGGAAGATCTCAAGTTTCGAGGTCAGCCTGGGCCGCACTCGAAGACCCTGTCTCAAAAAACAAACCAAGGGGCTGGGGAGATGGCTCAGTAGAATAAGCGCTTGTCTGGCAAGCGCAAGGGCTTGAGTTTAATCCCCGGTTCTGCCAAAACAAAACAAACATAGAAGGATTACAAGTAAATACTGTTGGAAACAACAGCAATAATAAGACCAGCGGGGTTATGTGCAGAGTGGAGGCCCAGCGTGATCCGCTCCCAGACCTCGCCCTCTCAGCCGCTGACCCTGGAACGCTGCTGTAACTTCTGGGCTGGGTCGGGCACCAATCCTATCTTGCGTGGTTTCGTTTCAGACCCCCCCGTCCCAGAAGGCTCCCCGAACATCACATCCATCAGCCACAACTCTGTGAAGGTGTGGTTCAGTGGGTTCGAAGCCAGCCACGGCCCCATCAGAGCCTACGCCGTGGTGCTCACCACCGGGGAGGGTAAGAAGGCGCACGCACAGGTCCCCCCACCCCCATGGCCCAGGGATGTGGGCGGGCAGGGTGTATGCGTCACGCTGTGTGTGCCCTCTGGCTTCCGTCCCAGCCAATTCTCTCTCTGCCCTGCCGCGTGAGAACAGTCACAGTAGACGTGAGAGACTGTTGTGCAGGGCTGTTGACCAACATGGCAGCAGGACTCCGTTGCCCTGTGCTGGAGTTTTCTTCTCCTACAGCGTCAGGCCTTCTGGTGGAAGAGTACTAGTTACAAGCGACTTTCTTTTTTTTTTGAGACAAGATTTCAATAAGTAACCCAGGCAGGCCTCACAGTCGCAGCGATCCTCCTGCCTTAACCTCCTGAGTGCTGGGCTTATAGGCGTGTGCCACCAGGCCTGGCTCCCAACTTTGTTTCATACACACACACACACACACACACACACACACACACACACAGAGGTCTCTACACAATGACCTTTTGTTAACCAAAAGAGTTTGCCTTTCTGCTGGGATCCTGCAGAGGCTTCCCTGTGGCCCAGGAAGGAGGCAGGGGAGATGTAGTTTCTCCTCAAAGTGCGCTGTCCCAGTCTTTGGTCCTCATGACTAGGGACCTCTCTTGACAGCTGAGTGTGTTTTGCAGAGGTCTGGCTCTAAAGTGCCAAGCCTTAGTATTTGGGCTGATTTTTTAACCTAAATGTGCACAGGCAGGGCTACCCCTGCCACATATTTTGATCCGTGGTGTTGTCCCCTTCTCCGTGAGAAAGGGAAGAACAAGCTCGCTCAGTCTCAGAATTTCAAAATGTGGTGTCGAGCCTGATGTGATGCACATCTGCAATCCCAGCCCTCAGTAGGCTGAGGTAAGAGGATCACTGAGAGCGTAAGGCCAGCCTGGGCTACATAGTGAGACCCTGTCTCAAAAAAACAAAGCAAAGAATAGCAAAAAAGATGTCGAGCTTTCTCTGTTTCCTTATTTATTGTGAGTCTCAACAAACCTAAGAGTAGACCTTTACTGAAGAGGGCAGGTGATGTTATAGAGTGACCAGGCTGCCTGGCTCTGGCCTGTGATGGACAGGACAATAGGCCCTGGGCCACCCGGCCTGGGCTGGTCCCAAGGGCAGGGTGACTGCATTGGGCCAGATCCATGCGTTTTATGAGCCTTCCTTTTTCTTTTCTGGAGAATGGGTGCGAGAAGCTTATGTGTGAGATTCATGGTGTCAAACTGAGTTCCTATAAGTGAAGCATGAGACTTGAATGTTGGCAAAGCCTGGCATCGAGGGTGCCTGAGTTGGTGTCACCTGGCTACGAGGAGTCCTGAGTCTTTGCTGTCATTTAGGCTTGCTTTCTGTGTGCCTTCCTCAGCTGGCCGCCCTTCTCCAGATGTTCTGAGATACACCTATGAGGATTTCAAGAAGGGCGCCTCGGATACCTATGTGACCTACCTTGTACACACGGAGGAGAAGGCGCGGTCCCAGGGCTTGCCCGGGGCCTTGAGATATGAGATCAACGTGGGGAACGAGTCCACCACCTGGGGCTACTACAACGGGAAGCTGGAGCCGCTGGGCTCTTACCGGTGAGGACTGTAGCCTCTGCAGCCAGGGCTGAGCCCGGGTGTATAGATGTCTGCTGCAACGGGCATGTGGCCCTGTGGTCTCATGGTGCTCTCTGTCCCTGCAGGGCCTGTGTGGCTGGCTTCACTAACATCACCTTCAGCCTTCAGCGTGACGGACTCATCAACGGGACCGAGAGCTACGTGTCCTTCAGCCCCTACTCAGAGGCTGTTTTCTTGCCCCAGGACCCAGGTAGAGAGAGAGGCAGCCCTGGCCCCAGCTGGAGTTCCCAGTTTGGGCTCCTCTGAGGTTCCTGGCAGCCACCTGTTTCTAATCCTTGGGCTGTTTAGCTCTTCGTGCCAGGCACGTGGGGTGACTTCCTTTATGGAATCCTTCAACATTTGCAGGCCCGCGAGGCATGGGAATTGTCAACTTCACTTTAGAAATAGGCTACTGAGACCCAGATTGGGGAAACAGCTCGCCCAGGGTCACACAGTGCCTTAGCTGCAGTCCTGAGGGTCTGGCCTTGGGCTCCTTGTCACTGTTCATCCCCATGGTTGAAGAGCTAAGTGACACAGGAGCTGCAGGGACCAGGGAGGGTGTACCCCCAAGCCCAGGCTGGAGGCTAATTGATGGGCTCATTTGCTAGGTTTTCTGGATTGTCCTACTTGGCAGTTTTTAGCTACTAGAAAAAAATTCCCAGAGGAAGTCAGCAGGGGGTTTTGTGTTCCCTGAGCCCAGTGCTGTGGGCCCGTCTGCTCCGGAGGCGAGGCTCAGAGGGTCCAAGGAGGCAGGTCAGAGTGGAGTGACAGACAGAAAGGAGACTGCAGCTAGGGGTGGCCAGGGACACGGACTCTAGCTCTGATTATCCAGGTTGGTTTTAGTTTCAGAGATGTCAGAGATATGTAACTCCTGTGTGTGTGTGAGTGTGTGTGTGCACATGTGAGCCTTGCATGTCTGTTACACATGTATGAAGTGCACCCCCACCCCTGCGGTGGGGGTCCCGTGTGTCTCTCACAGACCCCTTCCCAGGTGCCTGTGTTTCCACCGCAGGTGTCATCTGCGGAGCTGTATTTGGATGCATCTTTGGTGCCCTGGTCATCGTGGCAGTGGGAGGCTTCATCTTCTGGAGAAAGAAAAGGTGACACCGCCTACAGGAATTGTCATCCTCTGCTTTTCAGGGAAGCTTTTCTTGTGGGAAATTGTACCAGCCCTTTGAGGAATGGTACAAAGAACACGTGTGTCGCCGTGGTCCGTGGGGCTCACCGTGTGGCAGTCTGCCTTCCTCGCTCACCCTCCTCCCTGCCTGCATGAAACTTGTATGTCAGTTGGGATTCACTTGCTGCCAACAGGGACCCCCCACACCCCGCCCCCTGCAGGGTTCCTAATGTGACCCTGCTGGGTTGTTTGTGCTGCCACCAGGCCCTGCTGGGGTGGGAGACAGTGCTAACAGTGTAGCTTTGGCTCAGGTTCTGACTTACGTTTTAAAAGTAGGAGTCCATGACTGGGTAGAAAAACTTGTTTCTTGTTATCAGAAAGTAATACATATACATGAATTACTTTCTCATTCCTGGGACAAAATTCCTGACACCTGCAGCATCAGGGAGGAGGGATCATTCTGGCTCTCAGTTTCCGAGGGTTCTGTCCATGGCTTGCCGGTGCCAAGGCGGAAGCAGGGCCTAGTGCTGCTCCGTGCCTGAAGGCTCCTCGGACATGGCAGCCTGGAGGCAGAGAGCAGAGCAGGGCAGGGCAGGAGCACAGCCTCCTCGCTGTACGCTCGGCGACTGAATCATAGATGGAGAAAGCCGCTGGGGGAGACAGCATCCCATGATCCAGTCACTATCCAAAAGCCCACCTCCTGGCGCTTCGGGGAGCATTCTAGGTCTAAATCATAACATTTGCTAGAGAAAAACAAAGACCAAAAAGTACCCCAGAGCAGAACAACACAGAGAAAAGGCAATCCGGCCTGTCGGCACCTCTGCAAAGCTACCATTTCCCCCCCATTTTATTTTATTTTATTTTATTTTTTATATATTGAATTATTTTTATTTCTTTTTTTTTGTTTTTGTTTTTTCAAAGTTTTATTGATAAACAGATAGCAATGAGACAGTTTCAAATCCAATCGGAAGTACAGTTTCAACAAATAATACACTGCATATATTCTTCTTAGTGGTTAATTGCTGTACACGAAGTGGACTTGTGAAGCTATTTACAAACACCATTAGAACAAATCATTCTATTCATTAAGAGAATGCAACTATATATCTATCCTAACCACTTGGAATACACAAATACAAAATGGACATTCATAGTTATACCCCATTTTTTCTAAGTTCCGTTATTGAATATTATAGGTGTTTAAACTCAGCAAAATATTCTAAAAGAGTCCAGTAGCCCATAATAGCATTGGGTCCTCTGTTTAACTGGCAATGTCAGAAATTATTGACCTGAGTCCCCCACAGCTCAACATAACAGCGTGGCTTTATTTCCTATATTTCGTCTTCACACTTTTCTACTGGATGGTTAAGAGCAAGGTAAAGCAGGACCTATGCAACAAGAGTTGTAGCTTTTTGGTCTGAGAAGGTCAGTGAAACGTCCTCAGGATTTGTCTTGAGATCCCGTACCTCAGATTGTAGAACCTTTGTCAGTGCAGCCATGTGGATGAGTCACGGCCATTGCTTGGCCAATGTGGTCTCTGTGAAAGCCTGAGAGAGTGTCTTCTCCCCATGTGACTCTCCTTAGGCACACTCTACGTCATCGATCACTTTCCTCTTTGGCCTCATAATCTTCTTGATCAGAAAATTTGGGACACTACCGAGGTACATGACATTACAGTACAAGTTCTCATATGTCCTGAGTCTTAATTGACCTTAGAAGGCTAGGGCCAAAATGTTGGCATTCCTTGTAGTCCTCCTTTTTCTCTAATTTTGGTCTGCAAACTTACGTTGTTAACCATCCAGAAGACAAGCTTATTGTTATTATCAATCCCCCCCATTTTAAATGGCTGTGAGTATTTAACTTTATGAAAGTGCCATCTCTTATGTAACCAGTGGCTGGGTGCTTTCAACCTGGGGCCCCAGTTCATGTGTGTGCCCACAGTTAGCGTGTGTATCCCTGCGATGCTCATGACGATTCCAGGCGGGACAACCACCGGGCCTGGCTGTCCAGGGTTTCAGTTTTCATCCATGCTGCCAAATTAACTTCCAGGACGTAGTTCTCACACCAGCTTGGAGTTGAGCCAGCAACACCAGAGTGCCCCACCTACACTGGATTTGATACGTATCTGGTTTATTGCAGGAACATAGCAGACTTTCCCCTAAAGCAGTATGAGACAGAGTTTACTTTAGGTGTGCCTTACTGTAAAGCAATGCCCCTGATACAGATGGCGAGGAAATTCCTAAAGGTGGCCAGAGCAGGCTTCCCATGCCTCGAGATACACTAGGAGAGACTGATGTTCCAGCTTTGTTAGTGGTGTCTGCTGCTTGGACCCAGGACCTGGGGAAAGGCGTTTGATAGACACATGTGAGTGTGTGTGTGTGTGTGTGTTTGCACACTCACGTGTGCAGAAAGAAGCTCTTGTCTAATGGGTTTTTGTTTCAACACAGGAAAGATGCAAAGAACAATGACGTGTCCTTTTCTCAAATTAAGTAAGTCTCTAGAGTTAGGATTATACTAAGACTCACTGCCCCATCTGTCCTGTGACCATAGGAGAATTTTTGATGGACCTTGCTGTTATTTTTCCTGGTTGAGCACTTGGAAATTCTCACTAGGTTCATTTTCAGTAAGAAACCTAAGTTTTATATTGGTCTCTTGAAGCAGAATTCCTTGTCATGTTCTATTAGTTTACGTATTTTCTAGTAGATGTTGGTAGATATTATGCAGTTCCATTTGTTTGGGGCTTTTGGTATATGGATATAGCATATCTCAATAATATATACTTTATATATATTTATATATTTAGGACAGGGTTGACAGGATCTACAGGGTTTCATTATGTAGATCAGACCTGTAGTGATCCTCCTGTTTTCAGCTTCCCAAGTGCTGGGATTACAGGTGGGGTACCACCATGCCCAGTCTTAATCCCCATCTCAGCATGCCTTGGGGGTGGGATGGGGCCCGGCACGGCAGGCTGGGGACTGAACTCCAGCCGCTGCACTCTGCCTAAGCGGGTGCTTTAGTCTGCTGAGCTATCTGGCTGGCCCATCAATAATATATACCTTATGATTTTAAAAAAATTGAGTGGGTTATTGAGATCTAGGGGAAAGTAGAGCCCAAGTGAGCTCACAAATACGACCATTTCATGCAGTAGAGGTGGATTTCCCGATTCCCTTCTCATTGTTTTTTAAATAATATTCCTCTGATTTCTCCTCCTTGAGCCCCTCCCATTATGGCCTGGTTTTTGTTATTCTGGGAAGATATTTATTTCCTAAGCAAATGACCTTTTCTAATCAGTTATTTTTTTCTTTCCTTTTCTATGATGAAGACCTAAAAAGTGAGTAACAGCTTTACTTTTTAAAAATAACTAAGGTTATTTGGCTTGGAGTGTGTACTTCTTTGAATGTAAAGAAAAGCCTGACAGCGTGTTTTGCTCTCTTAGGTCCAAGTTGATCAGAGTGGAGAATTTTGAGGCTTACTTTAAGAAGCAGCAAGCGGATTCCAACTGCGGGTTTGCGGAGGAGTACGAGGTACGTGGCCTTCGCGTGGTGTTTTGCATCGTTTGTGATTCTTCCTCGGTGGCGGGAACTGTTTTTGTCTCATGGTGAAGCTTTGGGCGAGAGAAGACTGCCTGGAGTGGGCAGAGGTTGGCGCTCTGCCCTGTGGCTCCCACTGACCTGAGTCTTGGGGAGTGCACATTTTAGTCTGTTGTTTTTCTGGTACTGAGTGTTGAATAGAGGTCCTTTGTGCTGAGCTATATCCACAGCTCTTACTTATTTTTTATTTTGAGACAGTCTTTCATTGAGTTGCCCAGGCTGGGCTCAGATTTTCAGTCTGCCTGCCTCAGCCTTCCAGAGTGCTGGGATTATGGGCAGGCTCACCTTTGTCCTTTTGGCTTTATTTTATTTTTGCAGTACTGGGGATTGAACTCAGGACCCTGTGCTTGCTAGGCAAGCACTTATTCTATTGAGCTATTTCCCTGGCCCACTGGCTTTATTTTAAAGAGAATTTAAAAAACCCAATAAAAATGATATAAAGAATTTCAAAACAAGATAACAGGAAATTAACAATGGCTATTACATTGCATATTGTTGTCTTCAGAGTAGTTGCTCAGATTACCAGATATCAGCATACAAAGTTAAGCAAACAATTAAGGATTAACTGTTTCTTTCAATAAACCAATAGAAATTAGTAATACAATTATTATATATATATGTGTATATATATATGTGCACTATATACATACACATACATATATACATACATACATATATATATTTTTTCATTTTTCAGTTTTTCATTTTCTTGTTTTTTTGGTACAGGGAATGAACTCAGGGCCTTATACGTTCTAGGCAGGCACTCATGCCACTGAGCTATCTCCCTGGCCCTTTGTTTTTTTATTTTTTCCCTTCCTTCTTTCTTTCTTTTCTCCTTTCCCCCATCCCAGTTCTTTCTTTTGAGCAGTTTCTTTCCCTTTCACTATTTCTATTGTACCGTTTGGACTTTATTTCATCTTTCAGTTTTTTACACTAGGGAGACAATTTAATATTTACAAATATGGGTCTGATTTATTTCACTTATAACTGTGGGCTTTATTTATTTTGTATTTTAGTACAGGGTCTGCAGGGTCTCACTACATAGATGAGACTTGTAGTGATCTGCCTGTGTTCAGCCTCCCAACAGCTGGGATTACGGGCAGGTGCCACCACGCCCAGTCTCCATCGCTGTCTCAGTGTGCCCCGGGGGCGGGGCTGGCCTGGCACGTCAGGGATTGAACTCTGGCCGCTGTGTGACTATGTGCTTTAGTTGTATCCACTTACCTATAGCCTGGGTTTGTCTTTCTTTGTAGCTGAGTAATAGTCCATTGTATAAAAATACATCTTTTTTATCCATTTCTTGGTTGATGGGCATTTGGGTTGTTTCCAAGATTTAGCTATTACAAATTGCGCTGCTATAAACACGGGTGCACATATATTGCTGTGGTATGATTTTTCAATTCTTCTGGAAAAATACCCAGAAAGAGCATAGTTGGGTTGAATGGTACCGTTCATCCGAGTTTTTTTTTTTTTTTTTTTTTTTTTTCAGAACTGGGGATTGAACTCAGGCCCTTGCCCTTGCCAGGGAAGTGCTTATTCCACTGAGCCATCTCCCCGGCTCTGTCATCGAGTTTTTTGAGGACTCTCCATACTGATTTCCACAGTGGTTGTTCCAGTCTACACTACCAAAGTGGGGAGGGTTCCTTTTCTCCTATAGTCTCTCCAGCATTTGTTGTTGGTTGACTTCTTGATGACAGTCGTTCTTTCTGGGGTGAGATGGAATCTCAGTGTTGTTTTAATTTGCATTTCTCAAATGACCAATGATGTTGAACTTTTTTTTATACATTTATTTGCCATTTGTATTTCTTCATCTGAGAAATGTATATTCATCTCAAATGCATAATTTTGGATTGGATCTTTGAATTTTGGGGGCCTGGTTAAAAAAAATTCCTTTTACGTTCTAGATTGAAGTCCTTTGTCTGAAGGATAGTTGGCTAAAACTTTTTCCCACTCTGTGGCTTTTCTTTTCACATTACTGGTGATTTCTTTTGATGTGCAAAATCTTTTCAGTAAGACGAGATACCAATTGCTGATTTTTGAAGTATTTTCTGTGCAGTTTGGATTTTTTTTAAAAAATGTATTTAGGACAGGTTCTACAGGGTCTACAGGGTCTCACTACACAGATCGGACTTGTAGTGAGCCTCCTGTTTTCAGCCTCCTAAGCGCAGGGATTACAGGTGTGCGCCATCACGCCCAGTCTCAGTTGCTGTCTCAGTGTGCTGTGAGGGCTGGATCGAACCCTGGCCACTGTGTTCTGCCTAAGCAGGTGCTTTAGACTGCTGAGCTATCTAGCCGGCCTTTGGATTTTGTTTGTGAATTCTCTCCCTACTTCTGTGTCTTCAATATTTCTTCCAGTTTTCTCCATCTTCCAGTACATTTAGTGTTTTCATTTTATTTTTATTTTTTTTTTCAGCTTAACACAGAAGAGATGATTTATTGTACATGCTTTACATTCAGCCAAAAGTGAGAACAGAAGTAGTTCAGGATGCCACAGGTCCGGGGCAAAAATCCAGGGGTCTGCTTAGTTTGAACCAGGTGGCTCTCTCTTTGAGGTGGTCTTGACGATCGGATGGCAGTGCAGTCCTAATCCACTGGGACACTGTAGACAGCCTGCAGTCCAGAACTTGCACCAGCGCTGTCAGCCTCCAGCATTCTTCATGTTTGCTGGCCTCCAGGGTATACGAGCTATTGTACTTGGCCCTCTGTCTCATTGCTCTTCTTTTATGCTTCAGTCTGTGCATTCGATTCTTCCTCCACTTGGCTCTCATGTTGCAGAGGTTTCTAAGAAGATGGCGTTAAGTCGAGAGCAGTGTTTCCATTTTAATATTTAGATCTTTGATCCATTTAACTTTAGTGCCTGGTGATAGACACAGGCCTAATTTTAGCCTTCAGCATGTGAAAACTTTTGGCTTTATTTTAATCTCTTGGGGGCTGGGGAGATAGTTCAGCAACATAAGCGCCTGCCTGGCAAGCACAGGGTCCCAAGTTTGATCCCTGGTACCACAAAAAAAATAAGGAAACAAAGAAAAAAATTCTCTGGGTTCCTATGGTTGCTATAACAAAAGTGCCATAAGTCACATGGCTTAAAGCAGTAGAGCCAGAATGTGGCTTCAGAGGCCAGAAATCCCGGATCACAGTGTTGGTGCAGCTTGGCTCCCTCTTAGGCATCTTGTGGACGGTCCCTCCCCTTCAGCTTCCGCTGTGGGCAGCCTTGCGCTTCTCTGTTTGTACCAGGACGCTCCCGCCTCTGCCTCTGTTTCCCCGAGGTGCCTCCTCCCTCTGCCTGTGTCTTGCTGTTTTCTTTCCTCCTGCACAGATGCCACCCACGAGGGATTAGGGTCCCCTTCTTGTGCGTCCTCATTCTAACCTGATCGGGTCTGCAAAGACCCAACTTCCCAGGAAGACCCTACTGGGGTTAGATACTCAGCCTCAGTTTCAGGGGAAGCAAGTGCACCTGTATCTGCCTACATCCAGCTCTGTTATGGCCAGTGTAAATTACATCTTTTTTTTTTTTTTTTTAATATTTATTTATTTTTATTACATTTATTTATTGTGTGTGTGTGTGGCCAGCTCAGCCCACCAGGGGGCGGGTCTGGCTGGCATGTGGTGCTGGGGATCGAACCGCGGTCCCTGTGCTTTGCCAAGCTTGTTTCAAGTAGGTGCTTTAGACCACTGAGCCATCTCTCCAGCCCGTAAATTACATCTGAAGCCTATGTAAGTCAACAACTTGTCAATTTTGCTTGCAGGATCTGAAGCTGGTTGGAATCAGTTTGCCTAAGTATGCTGCCGAGCTGGCTGAGAACAGAGGGAAGAATCGTTATAACAACGTTCTGCCTTGTGAGTGAGCATCCAGGCCGCGTGCCCTCCCCCATCACATGAGTGACAGTTGAGGGCAGCTGCCATGTCGCCTGTCACATGCTGGGTGCTGCCTGAGGGACATGACACGTCATTAAATCCTCATAACCTCCCTATGAAGTTGGGAGTGGGAGATTTACTTTGCAGATAAGGAAACCGAGGCATGATGTGTGAGTTGGTTTCTTTTTCCTGAGGTCACACAGGTAGTGATGGAAAAACCAGGCTGTGAGCCAGGTCTGTGTCTCATTCAGGGAGGAGGACGGAGATGAGCTACTTTCTCAATGCTGGAACACAAAACCCAATGCCCACATTTCAAAGGGGAGGTTTATCTTAGCTCACATTTTCAGTACACAGTTGTCTGGCTCTAGCACAGAAAGAACATGGTTGAGGGTCTGGCGGAGGTGAGCTGCTCTCCTCACGGAGCCAGGAAGCAGAGAGAAGGGCGGAGCCAGGGAGGGAGGTGTGCACTTCCGGGTCATGTCCCAGTGACCCCCCCCTCTGAGCAGTCGCTCCTCCTAACATCACATTTAGCTGGTCATGTCCCAGTGACCCCCCCCCCCCGAGCAGTCACTCCTCCTAACATCACATTTAGCTAGAGCACCTCCGTGATTCAGTCACCTTTGAGAAGCCCCACCTGTGAGGGCCTGAGGCTGCGGGGGTTCACTGAGATGTGAGCCATGAGTCCACGTGTCTGTACCTACCTACCTACCTACCTACTCAGTGTAGGGTCCTGGGTAAGAGCAGGCAGAACAGTCTGGTAGTCAGTCCTCTGCTTGCCCACACACCCCTGGGATTGGTGGGGCGCATCACACAGCTTCACGTGAGTGGTGAGTGAGCTAGATGTGCTGCCCTGTGAGGCTGAGGCAGGAGGATCACCATGAGGTGGAGCCAGCCTGGGCCGCAGAGTGGGTTCAAGGCCAGCCTCAATGTTGCAGTGAGGCCCTGTCTCAAAAATATGAGTAGTAACTAAATTCTTCCAGGTTTTGGGGAATCACCAAAGTTGGCCACAGGGGAGAAGCTTCAAAAATAGGTGGTGAGGAGGGCGGGAGGAACTGGTGCTGCCTCGCATTGCCCGCCTGTTCCTGCAAATGTGGTGGAGCTTCGCAGGCCTGCATGGTGCCTGGGAGTTGGTGTCTGTGTATTGCTTGTACGGGAAAGACTCCCAAGGGCACCTGGGGTAGCATTGTGCCCCTCTGTGCTTGGGGAGGTGACCCATGCAGGGAGAGATGGGGTGGCCGAGCGGTGTACCGTGGCTTTTCCTGCCCTGGGCACCTTTAGCATCTTCCCTTCCTGCAGCCAGGAAGGTCTGCTTCTGAGATGAAATAACTCGCAGGAAGCAGGAGAATTCTGCATTTTATACCATTCCTTTCTTAGCAGTCTTAGACACTGTTTATTGTGAAATCTAGTTCTTTTTTTATAGCGCCCTATTTTTATCTAAGAATGGAGGCAGTGTGGAACGAGGGCCCTGGGCCTCAGCTCTGCTGCTGGCAAATGGTGCTAGATTTGGGTTCTGTCTGCGCTCACCGGGTGTCCTGAGCCGGAGATCCCTTCATGGCCACATCCCCAGTTTCCTTATGAGTTAAACAGGGCAAACACTGTGGGGTGGTTTTGGGGCAAAAAAATGAGCTTGCTTAGCTTATTGCCTGCTCACAGCAGGCAGCAAGGCAGCTGGCAGTGCTGGGTGGTTGGGTCTGAGGTGGGCGTTTGGTCCGAGTCCACCTTCCCCGCTGAGCCACAGCAGCAGACCCCACATGCAGAGGGGGGCACGTCTAACTTGGCTTGGGGTTCCAGAGGGTTTGGTCCATGGTCGGCCAGCTCCAAGCTCCAAGGCAGGAGCACTGAGGCAAAAGGGCATGGCAGAGCGGAGCTGCCTGGGCCGTGGCGGGTGGGCGCGGGGCAGGGGGCTGCGTTCTTTATGTGTGCAGCTTCCCCCACACGTTTGTTTCTAATGAGGTCCTTTTCTCTTTGTCAGATGATATTTCTCGTGTCAAGCTTTCCGTCCAGACCCATTCTACTGATGACTACATCAATGCCAACTATATGCCTGTGAGTGGGCACCAGGTTGTTCCCGTGAGCCCCTCAGGGTGCCTCTTTTGGCGCCCTGGACCCTGAATGTGTGCTTTCTGTCCTCAGGGCTACCATTCCAAGAGAGATTTTATTGCCACGCAAGGACCTTTGGTCAATACTTTGAAAGATTTTTGGCGTATGGTCTGGGAGAAGAATGTGTACGCCATTGTTATGTTGACCAAGTGTGTGGAGCAGGGAAGGGTAAGTTAGTTTTTAAAATTTTCATATTAGATTAATTTTTATTATTGTGGAAGGTCCTTATGTACCTTCAAAATCATTTGTCTTCTTTATAAACATACTATTCTCAGGCGTGGGTGCCTTTATTCTTCGAAGTTTGCCCTCTGTCTTGTCCTGGCTGGGAGAGCGAAGCAGGAGCAGATAGTGGGGCCCAGGGCAGGAGAGAGCAGCCTTCACGCAGAAGCGATGGGCCGGCGTGGGCAGGTGCAAGTTTCAGTGCAAAGCTGGATTTTCATGAGAAAGCTCCCCATTTTAAAGGAGTGGGAAGATTTTTAAGTTGTCAGCAAGCAAGCCATTCTAGGGATCACAGAGCTGCCAGCCAGAGGGCTGACGGTGCCCTGTTTCATTACGTGTTCTCCCTGTTTGTTTCTGAGACAGGGTCTTACTGTGCACTTCAGGCTGACCTGGAGCTCACTGTGTACCCCAGGCTGGTCGCAGACTCACCACGCCCCTCCTGCCTCAGCCTCCCGAGTGCTGGGATGCCAGGCGTGTGCCACTGCGCCCGGCTCCCCTGATCTTCATTTTGGGTCTTTAGTGATGGCAGATGGTGTGATTTGTGTGTTTCCATAAAAATGCAATTTTGTTCTAGACCAAATGTGAGGAATACTGGCCTTCTAAGCAGGCCCAGGACTATGGGGACATAACTGTGGCAATGACATCAGAAATTGTTCTCCCGGAATGGACCATCAGAGATTTCACAGTGAAAAATGTAAGTAAGAGGCCAAGGTGGCTGGATCTTAGGAATTGCCATCCGTGAACTTTGGGATATATTTTAGGTTGCTGTTAACTAGCATGGTATTTTATGCATTAGAGAAAAATTCACTTTGCTTTCTGTACAATAAAGCAATCCATTTTTCATGTGCACTCCAAGCAACGCGTGGTTTTACTGTCTGGACGGAAGTCTCACGCTCTTTTCCTGAATAAAGTGACTCTCCAGGGCCTGGCTCTGGCAGTAGCCCTTCCTTTCCTCCCACTCCCAAGTGACTTGCTCATGAAATTTTTGTCACAGGCCAGGGCCTTTTGAATGACTTAGTTGGGGAGATGGCACCAGGAGGGCCGTGCGCTGTTGGGAGCGGTGGCTCAGTGCACAAGCTTAATTCATTCCATGATTCTGAGAATGGTGAGCTTCTGCTTGTCAGCTGATGTGGCGTTTAGGAATGGCACAAGAATTTTGGTAAACACTTCCATTCATGACAGTTTCTGTTCGTGCACCAAATTGTCATGAACAGAAGCAGTCGTGAACCAAGGCACCGATGGAGTAGGACTCCCGCGTAGAGGCACTGTCTTAGTTACTTGTTTCTTGTTGCCGAGACAAAATACCTCACACCCAGAGTTAAAGGAGGGAAGGTTTATTTCGTCCACAGTTTGTAGAGGTTTCAGCCCATTGTCGCTGGCTCCAAGGCAGGGTGCATGTGGCAGAGGGGCAGCTGTTCATGGCAGTGGAAGGCAGCAGAAGCAAGCAGAAGCAAGCAAGGGAGAGACAAGACTGTCCCTTGCGTTGAACGCAGGCTCCCTGCCCTCGGGTGGGCATCACCCTCCACCTTGGACCTTGCCAGAGCTATGCCAGCCAATCAGCGGACCCATTTAGTACTCACACACCCTTGATCCCAGCAGCACCCGCTCTAGGGCCAGACACTTCTGAAAAAGCACTATGACTGCCTGAGTCTGTCGGGGGGACGGCTAGACACCAGCTGTGACAAGCACATTGGCTTCCTTTTCCCCCAGAGTGATGACAACCAAATCAGTCATGCAGACATTTCAGAAAGTCGAGTTGGTATCCTTTCTCCTTTTTTAAGGGTGCGGGACAGAGGCAGTGTCGTGAAGTGACTGACCTCCACCGATGCGTGTGGGGATGCATCTAACCCTTTGAAGTTTACATCAGGGCCTAAGGTGTGCCTCCTCTTTTGATCTTGTGGCTCAAAAATTAGGTCTCTGGTCCACATAAATAAAAACCAGGAATAGAATTATTTGTCAAAAAGATGAAAACCAGCATTATCTGGAGAGAAAAATTGGAAGCCATGCAGATACCCAGCTTTTCAAGAATGGGTAAGGAACCCATGGCCTCTCCGCTCCCGGAGTCTGTGTAGCTGTGAGCAGGGTGGGGGCAGGCTGCACAGTCGCCCTTCTTGGTCATGGCTCTGCGCCCGTGAAGTCAGCCAAGCTGGGATCGAAATGAGTTGGAAAAAAGCAATTACCTCTGTGCTGAGCATGGACAGACTTTTCCTGGTTATTCTCTGAACAGCACAGCCCAACTACTGCTTACGCGGCATTACCATTGTAGCTTAGGTGTTATCAACATTTACATTATATTTTAGGGATTATAAATAGTTCAGAGATTTTTTTTCTTTTTGTCTTTTTGAGACAGGGTCTTGTAATGCAGCTCAGGCTGGCCTTGTACTTACTCTGCAGGCCAGGCAGGCCTCGAACTTACAGCGATCCTCCTGCCTCTGCCTCCTGAGTGCTGGGATTACAGGGTGTGTCACCATGCCTGGCCTCAGAGATGACTTACAGTGTCGTTCCATGTTCCTGAATGGCAGGGCTGCATCCTGAGAAGTGTGGGAGGTGCTAGCACAGACCCCACAGTGTCGCCTGTGGCACCCCAGGGTTCGGGGGTGTGGGTTACCCGTGTGCACTGATGCTGGCTGGGACGCTGCACACCCAGGAGCGGTGCTGCTTTCCTTAAGGAAGGAGAGCGAGTGTGGATTTTCCTACCAGAGGGCTCCTGCGTCCCCCGTGTCCGGTGTTAGGTGCCACGTGAGTGCGGTGAGCCCCGAGACAGAAGCTCACGTGGATGTGGAAAGCCTGGATGTGGATCCCGTGACTCTTAGTTGGTGGTGGGTGGGCTGTGGCTTACAGGCGTTATCCTGGGAGACTAAGTCACGGGTGGAGCGCAGTCTCTGAAAGGCCCCTTCTTTAGGAACTCTGCACTTTCGGGGTCTGGCGTGGCTGCTATCCCAGCCCCTCCTCTGGAGGCGCCTCAGGCTGCTCCATGTGCTGAGTCAGCCAGCAAAGCCCTGGCGTTCTGGGGCCCGCAACACCTTAGAAGACGTCTGCTGCTTTCTGTGGGGTTTGCCCACTTTAGCACGCTCCTTTGTTGGTGGCTGTTTACCCCGCTTGGGGTTCACCCTTGTCAGGGGAAAGGTGTGTGCAGTCGTCCAGGTTGTTCAGAAAGATTTCTGTTGCTGGGTGGGCGGGGTAGTGCATGCCTGTCACCCAGCATACTGGGAGGCTGACACAGGGTATCCCGACAGGTACTGCAGCAGTTTAGGGCAACCTCGTCTCAAAATAAAACGTAAAAATGTGCTGGGAGTGTAGCTCAGTGTAAAGGCCCTGCATTCAACCCCCAGTTAAAAAAAAAATTTCTACCATGAATTTTAAAAAGTAAACTCTGATCTCACATATTTCTACTAAAGCTTTTTTTATTCTAGGAGTCAGTCTAAGAAACCATGTGACATTTAGTGAAATATTTTTTTTTAATTTATTTATTTATTTTATTTTTTTCCCATAATTTTGTTGATAAACAAATAGCAATGAGACAGTTTTGAATCAAATTGGTAGGACAGTTTCAATAATTAACACATTGCATACATTCTTCCTAGTGGTTAATTGCTGTACAAGATGCGGACATGATATCCTACTTACAAACACTATTAGAAAAAAATCCCTCTATTCATTAAGAGAATGTAACTATATATCTATCCCAACCACTTTGAATACACAGATACAAAATGGACATTCATCTGTATACCCTTTTTTGTTTAGTTCCGTCATTTGAATATTATAGGTATGTGAACTCAGCAAAATATTCTGAAAGAGTTCAGTAGTCCATAATAGTATTTGTCTTCCACTTGACTGGCAATGTCAGAAATTGTTGACCTGAGTCCCCTACAGCTCAACATAACAGCATGGCTTTACTTTCTCATATTTTGTTTTTATACTTTTCTGCTGGATGGTTAAGACCAAGGTAAAGCAGGACCTATGCAACAAGAGTTGTAGCTTTTGGGTCTGATAAGGTCAGTGAAATCCCCTAAGATATTACTTTTTAATTATGCAAAAGCATGCATATATTTCCCTTTTAAACCCGAGAACAGGGGGAGGGAAACATACTAGGATCAAATCTGGAAGCCCTCACACTGAGCTACAGTCCCAACTCATTTTATTTATTTAAAAAGTTTTAGACAGGATCTCACTGTCGCGAGGTTGCCAAGCCTTGGCTTGAACTTGCAGTCCCCGTGCCTTCACCTCCAGGAGTGCACCTCCATGTCTGGTTTGCACCTCGTCTCTCTGGAGGGGTGTTGAAACCTCTTTCCTGGGCTTGTTAGGGGGATTTGATGAGCAAGACTAAGTGTATGCGAGCACCCTGCAGCTGGTGTGTGAGTGTAAAGTTTTGATTTTAAGCCTAGCCCTCCTTTTTAGCTTCCGTCTGTCCTGGGCAGTGCATGATCCGGGCTCTGCCCTGCTCCCCTCGCCTTTCTTGTCTCTGCCTCTGACCCCTCTGTTGACTTGTAGGTCCAGACAAGTGATAGCCACCGGCTGAGACAGTTCCACTTCACCTCCTGGCCTGACCATGGCGTCCCCGACACCACAGACCTGCTCATCAACTTCCGGTACCTGGTTCGTGACTACATGAAGCAGAGCCCTCCAGAGTCCCCAATTCTGGTGCATTGCAGGTACAGGTGGCACTCGCCTGAGACAGCTCGGGCACACCCAGATGTTTGGGAGCACTGCAGGAATGCACTAGGCATTTACAGTTCAAGAAAAGGGCTGCTGGAAGCCCACCCGCGGCTTAGTCCCTAGGCTCCGAGACTCTAGGATAGGGCTTGGCAAACCACAGCCTGTGGCCGGAGCTGGTGTGCTGCTCGTTGTTGTCCGTGAAGTGTCCCTGCAGAGCTGTGCCTGGGTTTGCGTGTTGCTTGAGCTTGTGCTTGTGGTGCATGGCAGAGACCACGTGCTCTGTGGAGCTGGAGATGGTGCTGTCTGTAGGACAGGTGTACCCACTGCTACTGGAGACCAAGAGGAAATTCACTTTAAAATTAAAGGAACCAAGATAGGCATGGTGGCTCACACCTGTAACCCCCGCATGTAGGAGGCCGAGGCAGGAGGATTGCCTCAAATTCAAGGGCAGCCTGAGCTACATATTGAGTTCAAAGCCAGCCTGAACTACGCAGTGAGAGCCTGCCTAAAAAAAAAAAAAAAAGCCAACAAATCCCCAAAATAAAGGAATTGACTTAGGATAAAAGAGAGGCCTTGTTGCCTACAGGGAATAGATAGAACTGGCCCTTCTAGGTTACCATAGCAACTTGAATGGGACTGAGATTTAAGAGGCTCTAACAAAGCGTCTTATTTGTGGCACTGACCTCAAAAGTAGGTTTGGGACTCAGGCCTCAGTGCAGTGGTAGTGAAGCCTGACTTACTGAGGTTTCCAGGGAGCAGTGTTTGCTCGGATCCATTGCTGCAGATGGTGGTGGTGGCCAGGAGCCCGCTGCGGGCACAGGTGGCGCAGTCATGGGGTGGGGGGCACAGGGGGGTGCCAGCTGAGGTGCCACCTTCCTTCCCTTCCTTTCAGTGCGGGGGTTGGCAGGACCGGCACCTTCATCGCCATTGATCGCCTCATCTATCAGATCGAGAACGAGAACACCGTGGATGTGTACGGCATCGTGTATGACCTGCGCATGCACCGGCCCCTCATGGTGCAGACCGAGGTGAGGGGGCCTCCTCCACCCTTCCTGCCTCCCATCCCCCCTGGCGTGGCCAAGGTGGGTGAGATAGCTCACCTTTCTGGCTTTCTGGCCTTCTGGGAGTGATGCTGGATTTCTTGGCAGGCTGTAGACTGAGCCGGACTAAATGGCCTGAACTGGTGGCGCAGGAGGACTGGGCTCAGGAGTGCGCTGCACATTCTTTACTATGCGCCTTTGACCTAAATAAACTGCCCAAGTCTCCGGAGTTTGGTTTCTGGATTTAAACCTAAGAAATATATTTTTCACTCTTTGTTTCTAAACAGGTCGGTCAGTTGATCAGTTGGTCAGTCTACTTGTTACAGGGTCTCGCTATGCAGTTCAGACTCCTAGTGAGCCTCCTGTCTCAGCCTCCTTTCAGGGCCGGCACTGCGCACCCAGGGTCCAGGGTGGGCATGCGGTACCAGGGATTGAACCTGCGTCCTTGTGCTTGCCAGGCAGGTGCTTAGACCGCTGAGCTATCTCTCTAGCTCTGACTGTCTTTTAAAACGTGGATGAAATAGACTTATCAAGCTGGATGTGTCGACATGAAATGTAATCCTAGCACTTTGTAAGGCTGAGGCAAGAGGATTGACGCCTGGACAATTTAGTGACTTAGTGACTGTGTCCAAATAAAAAATAGAAAGGCCTAGGGATGTAGCTCCATAGAAAGGCCCTGGGTTGATCCCTGGTGCCAAAACCAAAATGAAATGAAATGTGAAATGACATGAAATGAAACAAAATGAGCTTCTTGTGTTGAAGCATTAAGCAGCTTGTCCTCACCCAGCCATGTAAGTGAGAAAGAAAGGAAGAAAGCAAGCCAGCCAGCCAGCCAGTCATCCAGCCAGTCATCACTAGAGTGAGCAGGGCTGGGAGCCTTTTCATCACTTGCATTGGGAAGCAGCTGTGCTCAGAGCGTGCTCGAGCCCCGGGATGACGAGGACAGAGCATTGACGTGCGCAGGCCTCGCCGGGCCCTGAGCCAAGGGGGCATAGCGTGCTGCGCACTGGGTGCGTGCGAGCCTGGGTACCCTGCGTGTGTGGTCTGGGAGAGGCTGCAGGCGGCACCCGAAGGAGTGAAGCTCCACTGCCATGTTGGCCGGGAGGAGGGCCTTTGTGTGTTCTCATTGGACAGAGTAGTGTGTCTTAACCACTTACGCTCCTCTGAGAAACGGAGATTTCATGCTTGAGGATTCTTTTCTCATCTCTTTTTTGTAGTTTGAAAATAAATATGTGTGTATAGGCTTTGTTTTTTAAAATAGGGTCTTGCTATGTAATTCAGGCCAGCCTTGAACTCATGGATTATATTCTTAAAAACTGTAATATAACTAGGTGCTCTCTGGAGGCTGAGGCAAGAGGATGACTGTGAGTTCAAGACCAGCCGGGCTACAAAGTGAGCTCAAGGCCAGCCTGAACTGCATAGTGACATCCTGTCTCAAAACGATGAAAAGAAAGGAAAAAAGAATATAGGACTCTGTAGAATACATTTTCCCCTTTTACTTCTCTCAGTCCTGTCCCTTGAAATAGGCAGTGTGTATAGTGAGGCATGTAGTTTTATTTTTTATTTATTTATTTTTTAGCTCAGGGTGTTTGCACGGGGCTGTACCTCCACCCTTTTTGTTGTTGTTTTTGAGATATGTAGCCCAGGCTGGCCTTGAACTTAGGATCCTCCTGCCTCTTTTTTATTGGTACAAGTGTGCAGCACACAGCGATTATACTTCACTGTGGGGAGCAGTACCTGTACATCCTACATCCTAATTCCTTCTAGTCCCCTCCCCTCCTCCTCTTTCCCTTAATCTCTTTCCCTTCCCATTTAAAAAAGATCTATCTAGCTCCTGCTGGTCATTTAAAAAAAATGTATTTATTACAGGGTCCACAGGGTCTCACTATGCAGATCAGACTCGCAGTGATCTTCCTGTTTTCAGCCTCCCAAATGCTGGGATTATAGGTGGGGTGCCACCACACCCAGTCTCAGTCACCACCTCAGTGTGCCCTGGGGGTGGGGCTGGCACGGCACACAGGGAATTGAACTCCTGGCCCTGTGCCTGCCTAAGCAGGTGATTTAGCCTGCTGAGCTATCTGGCTGGCCCTTCCTGCTGGTCATCTCTTTTGATCTTTAATTTACTTATACCTGGGGATTTTCCTATAAGAGAAGTTATGTGATCTTTAAGCTGAAATGTCTAGTTTATTTCACTTCTTAGTGTGGTCTGAAGGTGTATGTGCATCTGTGGACAAATGCATTAATGTGTGCGTGGACACTCCTGTGGAACTTTTTTTTTTCTTTACCTAGGATCGAACCCAGGACCTATCATTTGCCAGGCAGGTGCTTATGCCACTGAGCTGTATCTCCCCAGCCTTGTGGAGCATTTTGAAGAGATCTCATTCTGCTTTTTCTTTTTCTTTCTTTCTCTTTCTTTTTTTTGCAGAACCAGGGATTGAACTCAGGCCCTTGTGCTTGCCAGGCAAGCGCTTATTCTATTGAGCCCGTCCCCGGCCCCCACTCACTCTGCTTTGGATAGGACAGTTCCTTGTGATGTCTTCCCCATACAGCATCACGGATACCTTTCTGTGCCAGTGAACACCCCTTCCTCCTTTTGGAACAGCTATCTGTGGCTCCCACCAGCTTCCCAAATGTGGCCCCAACAGTCCCCTGGGTCATCCAATATAAGAAAATATATTGGCTGAATGACATGACAGGGTGAATGAATGACAGGGTCTCACTGCGTAGCCCAGGCTGGCCTAGAACTCGCAGCCATCCTTTGCCTTGGCCTCCCAGTGCTGTGATCACAGACAAGCGCGAAGGATCCTCCCTGCTGAGACGTCCAGGCTCACCCCACTGCACAGGGTGGGGGCCCAGACCGTTGTGCAGACCCCACTGCTGGGCGGCCCTTCCTGCTCCCTGATTCTTAGGCGTCCCCTCAGGGCCGGAGGGGACAGTGTGACCCTCTCCTGAGACTCGCTGGGGAGCACATCTCTATGTGCAGATTTTCACCCGGCTCTCACGACCTCCTAAAACTCGTTTGCTGTTGTGCAGATGGGGCTTAGGCGATGCTGTGAGCGGAATTTGGGGCTCCTCGGGGACCAGGGCCGGGCCAGAGCTCACTTTCTCTCTCCCTTTGTGCGCAGGATCAGTATGTTTTCCTCAACCAGTGCGTCTTGGATATCGTGCGATCTCAGCAGGACTCCAGAGTGGATCTCATCTACCAGAACACCACGGCGATGTCTATCTACGAGAACCTGGAGCCGGCGGGCGTGTTCGGGAAGACCAACGGCTACATCGCCTGACTGCACAGCGGAGCTGGGGCGGCGCGCCGCCACCCACGGCCGGCCGGGGAGCTCGCTGGTGCACCCGACCGACCGGCTCTCGGCTTTCTGTTCTGCTCCGCTAGAAGCGCGGCGGGCAGGGTGCGAGCCGAGCTGTGAAGCCCGGCGGCCGTGGGCTGGGGCGTCGGGCGGGGGTGAGGACCCCAGCGGTCGCTCACGTTCCCGAAGACCAAGGGCGAGAGTGCTCTTCTCATTTCCTTGAAAATTGTGGAAAACCTGGAAAAGTGAGCTCTGATTTTTTTTTTCTTCCCAGAACAGGTTCTTAACAAGAACAGCAACAAGAACAAGAACAACAGCAAAAGACTGTAGGTGATTCTCATGCTCCAGCCAGGGTTTTGTTGGGTTGAATATATTTTAAGTATCAGAGGTCTATTTTTACCCACTGTGGCTTGGGATTGAGCTGATGGAAAACACATTTGCGGGAGGTTCTTGTGTCAGGAGGGGTCCGGGGCGCCTCTTCCGGCTGGGTTTTCTATTTGAACATGTGCCTTTTCTGAATTATGCTTCCACAGGCAAAACTCAGTAGATTTCTCTATTTTTGTATTGAATCTCATAATTGGAATATAGGGAATATTTAAACAGTAGTTTAGCACGGAGGTCCGCCTTGTAACATGCTGGTCCTCACGGGTGCGAAGAGGCCCCTCCCCCCAGTTTCCCGTGGAGACTTCTGTGGCAGCATTTCCAGCCCGTGGGTTGGGTGAGAACGAGACTGTCACCCAGAGCCTCCCTGTGGCGGGCAGGCACAGCCCAGGGATCCGTGGGTGACAAACTCCTGTCCCGGTTCCTGTCTTCTTCCTTTTCTCCTTTCTGTCTTTGGTAAAAAGGATTATTTAAAGGTGCAATATGTGACTTGTGATTCCTGATGCTCTGGGTTTTTAGTAACGTTCTACTCAGGTTGGGGTTTTTATGTGTGTCCGTGTATGTGTGTGTGTGCGCGCGCGCGCATTTTTAAAAGCGTGGCAATCTGTGAACACTTCAGTGTGAACTCAGTGTTGGATGAGTCCTTCCTGCCCTGAGGTCTGCTGGCTGTAGTCTGTCTGCAGTGACACACGTTGGTATCTACTGTATATATAAATCCTAAACTCCTACGTCAGTCATTCCTAGGAATTGAGGTGTACAAAGTTTGATTTGTATCAAAGATGTAATTATTATTTTTTAAACCTCTTTTCACTCTACTGCTGCTGTAATTACTTTGATTTTTTTTTAGTAGATTAATTTTTTTTTTTTTTTTTTTTTTTTTTTTTTTTTTTTTTTTTTTTGGCTTCAGGTTGTGTAGCCACCAAGGATTTCAGAATTTATGTGGATGTATTTTATTGGTACCTAATCTGTAAACTTCCCAAGGCATTAACATGAAGGGATTGGCTTCTTTTCTTTCATACTGTGGCTCAGGTTCTATGTGAAAGATGTTTTGAGTTCCTTCTCCAGTAGGCAGGGAAGTAGGCACGGTCAGGTGAAGGAATCACCAAGCCTGGAGCCCAGTGGCCACTGTCCACCCAGGATGCAGGCCTCCTGTTGAAAATGGGGTGGGGCCTTTGGTGGCTGGGTCCCTGGGCCTGCGGGGGCCTGCGTCCCCTCCTGATGCTCCTGGGCTCTGCACCTCCCCTGCACGTTGATGGCAGCCCGGATGGTTCCCAGGCACAAAGGGTGAGCCGCAGAGGCCCTCAGCCCTGGTGGTGTTCCTACATAGCACTGTCCTCGGTGTGTGAGACCCTCCCCCCAGGTACCAAAAGGATTAAAGGAGGGGTTGTGGTGGCGTCATGTTTCGGGGGAGGATTTTTACTTCTCAAATAGAAATTGCACTTTCTGCCAAATCCTTTGCGTTTGTCAGTGCTAAGAAGTTCACTGTTTCAGGTCCCTGCAGGAATGAGGGCGGGCCCAGCCGGCTTGGGTCCTCTGGGCTCTATGCGTGTGGTCCCCCGGCCGGCCACGGGGGAAGCCTCAGGTTGGGCCCCAACTCAGGCAGGCTGAGGGGCTCTGGAGCCTCCTGCCCAGTGGGCTGCAGTCCTCCTGTTCGTCAGGAACCCCTAGGAGGGAGCATCCTCAGCCCTCCTCTTGTGTCTCGTCCAGAGAATCACAGGAAAGGCTTTGCCCCTTCAGAGGAGTAAGGTGACGTAATTGTAAACATGCTGTCTAAAAACGGGGGCTGGCTGTGTGGTGTTGGATGCCCGTCATCCCAGGACTTGGGAGCCGAGTTAGGAGGATCGCTGTGAGTTTGAGGTGAGCCTGGGCTACGTGGTGAAGTCAAGGCCAGCCTGAACTACATAGTGAGACTGCGTCTCAGAAAAACAAAAATAACAAAAAAAGCAAACTCCAGAAATCTTCCCTTTCACTGGCTTGGGAAGTAGTTGGGCAGTGGCCACAGTGAGCCACACGGAGTCAGCATCACAGGGTCATCCTCCATCCCTGAGGAGAGCAGGGCTCTATCTAGCAGGGAGGCCTGGAATTCAGTGGGAAGGTCGCAGAAGGTCACGCTGCTCCTGAGGCCTTAGGATGGGCTGGGCTCTGTGCTGGGAGCGGTATTTATAACACAGTTTCTGGAAAAGGGAAGACTCATGTTTAAAGGGAAGGATTCCAGGCCGGGCAGGAAACGACTCAGCTGAGCTCTGGAGGCTCCAAAGAACGGTGACTGGACTCGGGAAGGACCCGGTGGTACCGCGGAGGTGCTGCAGGCTCCGTGTGGCCGAGCAGCCGGGCTGGGCTTCAGGCTCCACAGAGCGCGCCTGGGCCGCTGTGCCCTCTCCCAGGAGCACAGATGTTCTGCCTCCGAAGCAGCTGGCTGGCGTCTGTCTCCTGGGGTCGTGTCATGACGCCAGCCTGACCTGGCCCCCCGAAAAGGTATGGTTTTCTTTCGCAATGCCTGATGGTGCTTGTGGAGCTTAGCGAGTGAGCAGACGGACGTCGGGTTTGGCTCCGAGTTCGCAGACCACTGGGGACATCGCCTGTCAAACACACTGCAGCTTGTCCCCCTCGGGGACGCATATGAATAGGACATGTTGATGTGGATGCTAAATTGTAATTTTCTTGTAACTATTTTGGAATGATGCATATTTCTAATGTTTGTTATACTTGTACAGAGTATTGCTGTGGATTGCTTTTTTTTTTTTTTTTTTTTTCTTAAAAGGAAAAAAATGGCCTGGAAGGTTTTTTTTTTTTTTTTTTTTTTTTTTTTTTTTTTAAAGACAAATACCAAATATAAAAAAACTGTCCACACAAGAGGCCTTCGTTTCGTTCTTTGCCTTTTCCCCTGTGCCACCTCCTGACCTTACGTCCCCCGTCGTCGACTGGTTTTGTGGCTAATCTGCAGCTGTGGTACCCTCAGCAAAAACACTTGGATTTCCCTTTGGGATTGCCACATAACATTGGTTTTTCTGGGGCTGCCACTGTAAATACTACGGACTGGGTTGTTAAAACAAAGAGAATGTCTTTTCTCACAATTCTGGAGGCGAGATACCAGAGGTCAGGGTGTCGCGGGCCTGTCTCCTCAGCTGTCCTCTCTGTGTCCTCGCGTGGTCCCCTCTGGGCGAGTGTCCGATCTCTTCTTTCTTTAGGTCCCACAGGGTAGTGAGGCAGGCCTTGAATTAATTCAGAGCCAGGCTGGCCTCAAAATTATGGTGGTCCTCCTGCCTCGGCCTTCTGAGAGCTGGGGTCACAGGCCTAGACTTTTTCTCTGACAACTTTAACCTTTTCCTAAGAGGACTCCTGTCAGCTTGGATTAGGGCCTCACCAATCCCTACTTCATTTTCCCAAGGACCTCTTTTAGAACTCCCTCCTCCAGTGCAGAGTCCCATTCTGAGGATGGAGGTTGGGATGGCCACATGACTTTTGGGGGGACATAGTTCAGCCCTTGACACCTCCATGGGGCTCAGGGGAGAGAAGATGAGGGAGACAAGGCTGTGTGCATCCTAGCAGTGTTATGGGCAGCTCAATTAGGTAGAAATCCAGGCAGGCAGACAGGGCGAGGCCTCAAGGAGACAGCCCTAGAGACAAGATACCTTGAGACTGTGAGAGAGAGGGAGGCTCCTGCTGTGGGCCAGACCTAGAGAGCAAAGATTGAACGAATGCTCACGTCCCTAAAGGCAAGCATCTGGGATTGATCATCACCTTGAGGAAGCTGCGGAGAGTCACTAACACTACCGGCCACTGCATCAAGGCCCGTTCTATGTTCATGCCCGTCTGCTATGTAACTTGCTTCCCCATTTGGTCCTGGATTTAATCAATGTTACCTGAGGAATGGTGTTTGTAACCGTGTTGGTTGACCATAGTTTTGTCCCACCTCATGCCCACCTGAGAGAGTTTCCATGTTCTCCAACTTAGACCCTCCTCACCACATGGTTTTTACTCTATGAAAATTCCTGGAAGAGATAGCTTCTGGGAGCAGCCCACTTGGGTCCCCCTTCCATCCTTCTCTTGGACAGAAGCTTTCTTTCCCCAATAAACATTCTGCTGTTAACCTCCATTGTTCCTGAAATTCATTCTTCAGTTTTAGAGAACACAAACTTGTCCCAGGTACCTTTCAGGTTGGGAGTTTCATTCCCCTAGATCAGCAGGTCAGCTGCAGGGGTCACAGACAGATGCCCTGAGCTTTAGGGGCTTCGGGGGGTGGCTTGGAGTTTTTCGGAATTGCTGGGACCCCCGAGAGGCCTCTGTCATGAGAACCAGGGATTGATGAGTACTTGCTATGGATCCTGCAGGTGTCCTGGGGTTGAGGACCCGACAGCCTCGGCCTCTGCCTCTGCCGTGGAGCTCAGGTGCAGATGTGGGGAGTCGCCCCGACCCAACAGGGTGTGTGGCCTCATCTTCAGCGTGACCGATTGGGCACACAGGCAGGGAGAGAGGCTTTTAGTGCTTAGGAGCCAAGTCCCCTCATCTCCTGCTGGCACTGGTGTGACGTCCACGTGAAATTCATACCATCCATGCTGTTGGGGAGAACAAGATGGCCAGATGGCTTTGGAAGATGGCGGTGGTGGCACGGTCCACGTGGTGGTGGCAGGTAAGTGATGGAGTGCTACTCATGCAGCTGGCTAAAGCGCAACTTTGAAATATGACACAGAGCATGTGCACATGCAGGTGTGTGAACACACAGACCTGGAGTGCGTAGCTTAACGCACACGCACACATGGCTACGCACTTTGCCCTGCATTATTCAGGTGGGAGGTGCAAGGTGGTCACACGGGTGACTGTGACAAGGAAGGACAGCCCCTGGCAGACAGGGCATGGCCCTGCAACAGGTGCCCAGGGAGCTGCATTCCTGCCTGGCTGTTGGTGCCTGTGTGGGGACTCTGCGGGCTGTGTCTAACCCATGTCCTCACCCCTCACAAGCCCTATCCCCCATGTACTGCTGCCCCACCCCATCCTCCCTGGAGATCTGGGATACAAGCTGTCCTGCTCCCCAAGGGCAAGTCCAGTCCTGATCCCGGTGCCCCGGGCATTCACTGACTGTGGAAGGATGAGGCAGCATTCCACACAAGGCAGTCCTGTGTGTGTCCAGGCTGCCTGGGAGCGCTCTCTGGTTTCTTTTTTTTCTGGTCACTTGTTTAATCAGGGAGACAGCACACATGTGGGGCCTATGACAACTTATTCCAAAGTCCTCATGGGTTGTGGATGTCCTGTGGCACATGGGGCGGTGCCTGGCCAGCAGCGAGGATCCTTCCCCCTAATTCCCTTCTGCCCAAACTGACAATTCCAGATTGCTGCTCATGTGGGTGGCAGACAGCCTGTGATGCTCGCCTGAGACGCAGCCTGAACATCCAGGGACGAGAGCAGAAAAGCAGACATTCTGCTCCAACTGCTACAGGGAGAAAAACAGTTGCCAGCTGGCCTGCGCCAGTTTGTCTTCTCTAAAATGGAACAGCGAATTTTGGGCATGGTGGAAATTAAGAGCAGAGTATATTTATTGGGGGGAAGAAAGCTGCTGTCCCAGAGAGACAGAAGGGGACCTTGAGTGGGTTGCAAGGACACTGCCTTTTCTAGGGATTTGTTTTTTCAGAAGAGCAAAACCGCAAGGTGAGGTGGGTCTGAGGCGGGAAACATGGAACTGGCAAGGTGGGTATGAGGTGGGACAAAACTATGGTCAACCAATATGGCGACGAGCTTAGTTGCTCAGGTAAAATTGATTAGATGGGGATCAAATGGGGGGAAGTGAGTCACATAGCAAGTAGACATGAATATTATACTCTTTAAAATAAAAAATAAGATAAATATTAAGATTTATTGAAAGCAAGCATTAATG